AAAACTGTTGTGTTTAACATCAGATTGTTATTTATTAATTGCGAACAATTTTAACATTGACATAATATATTTTTATTACATGTACATGATACACAGCAAGGAGTGTTTGACTTAATTGTAAGCGAATATCTTTAGACTTGAGTCTTTCCTACTCGAAGATGTATACTTGTTATATTATGCATTCATAAAATTTCTTTAATTACTATGAATGTCATGTTACATAGAATATAAAAGAATCATTGTTAAGAGTACAAGAATGACATTGAAATGATTGGAATGAGATTTTATCTGAATTTATATTTTTTATATATTCTCTTGTGAAGTTGTAATAGCTAATGTAATTTTCTTTAACATAAATATTCATTAATGTAACATCAGAAGAAATAGTAGCGATTGGTAGTCATAAAATATGTTGTTTGTGTTCAGATTGTGTTTTATACACGGTCGTAGTTTTAAAGCTAAGTGTTGTCATGTTAATAGAAATGACAGCAATGTTGTAGCTAATATGGAATTGCAAAGTATTATTTTATAATAAAAATAACTGTGTAGATGTAAACGTAGTTTGAGAATTCTTAACTCGTAAGCTCTATCTCTTGTTGTAATTATCTGTGAACGTTTGCAAGAGATAGAACAATTATAAAGTTCAAAAGACAGTTGTACTCGACTGTACATGTATTTTCCTGAAAAATGTAAAGTTCTTTAAAGACAGATTCTTAAGAATTTGTAAATTTTAAACGTTGCTTTCATTTGTAAACACCATAAATTGGCTGCTATAATTACTTTGTACATATATACAGACACACTTGTATACGTGCGCGCGCGCTACTTATAGATTAAGTTTACAAATATAACTACACGACTTATGTGAAGGTACATTTTGAAACTATAATTCTGTACAATTTGTATATTGAAAAGGAATTGAATTTATTAAGAGTTTTATCAAGTCAAGGGAATAAAAGAATAAAGATGGTTTATTGATACATTGTACTTCATTCATACATGTTAATCACATTAATTAATATATGTCAGATTATACATATTATATGTGTACATATTAAATATATTTCTATTTAAAAGAATCTCCACCTTATAATTTTCTAACACATCGTGTAAAATATACATAATGCTAGAATGAAAGTTACACTAGACACTTCTTGTTTTGCTGTGATATTATTCGTTCTTTTCTTTTAAAATGTAGAGTTTGTCTAAAAATGTTATGTAATTTCGATACAACTGTTTGCGATATGCTAAACTCTTGCATGCTTTCATTTAATTATTATACAGGTGAGATCCTTGGGCAACATGTTAGTAACTTTTCTCGTATTTAGATTCTTTCTAATTCGTTATAAACGATTTTCTGTTTTATATTTAAAAATTGAATTTTGGAACAAATGATTCATGCCACTTCTTCCATAAAAAACAATGTAAAATTTGACGTTTATTGTTTTATGTCCTAATGTGGCATAATTAATGTTTTTAATTTAATGTGGGCGACAGCAGCGCTTCTTGCGAGAAATAAATGAAGCTCCTTTCGAGGTCCGTACAGCGCCAATTAGGCTGGTGGCAAAACTCTCAAACTGTTGGCCAAATTCGACCGTTGGTAATTTGGCCAACAGTTTGAGCGTTTTGCCACCAGCCTAATTGGCGCTGTACGAACATCGAAAGGAGCTTCGGGATCTCACCGCTAGGAGTGCCACTTGTCACAAACGGCGCTACTTTTAAATTTTCAAAGTGCCTCGAGATTTGATACTTCATCTACGGTAGTGGCAAAACGCTGAAACTGGTAGATAATTTTTAAATTACACGACACTACCGTGTATTTATATCACGGAATAGCGTCACTGTGTCCAATGACGCTACTTTTATATTTTAAAGAATACATACGTACATGATTCGTTCCGAATTTTATATCGGTTTTTACAGCGAAACCGGAAAAGATTATCATCAACATCATCTTTATATTTGTAAAACGAAATAGACTATTGTTGCGTGATACAGATGCAGCAGAGTCTCCTGAATATTTCTGTACCTTCAAAACATTCTTTAGCCATCCAATTTTCCTCAGAGATCCAATTTTTCTAAAGGAGACTCAAATGCAGCAGAATTTCGATTATTCAGCGTCCTCTAAACTCTGAATTTTATTCTGAATCAAAACTGACTGACAAAAGAATAGTAGAACTTCGGTTGCATTGGAATCAGTGCTGGGTAATCGGTTGCCGCATGCGTATAATAACAATTGACATAATAAAGCGAAAATGAGAAAAATACAACACTGTGTGTTGATTATCAAGACTGTACAAGAAAACAGCAATCGGGAGGGTGAATATCAGCGCGAAATCGTACGCGCAGTCGCGTTTCAGATATTCGCGGAGGAATTGCGTCTGGTGAACATAATTTTTTATTGCAGCTGTTAAAAACAATTTGCCATAAGTTCGGTTGTCGTTAAAATTTTTCGTGATCCTTAGCTGATCATCGAGCGCATACATTCGTGATCAACGTGTGATATTTCTTCAACTACAATCTACAGGTATCGAGTGTTTGCTCTTTGTAATTTTAGGAATATTGATCATCTAATGAAAAGCAGAGATTTCCGATTTCGATTCAGTTACAAATAGAGAACGTATTTTGAAATTGATCTGCAGAAGAATATTGCACGGATCATCGTCTTGCGATAAAGGATATAATTAATCTATCACTTAGACAATTTGTTCGACAAAACGGAAATGGATGAATGGTTTCGTTTGTTTCAATGACACGGAATTTCTTCTCAAAAGACGGTGGGTCAATGTTTATTTCGATGTCTTCTTTTTTAACATTGAGCTAGGATATGATTGATTATAAATGATGTTTATGTTAATTTATACATTTTGTTTAATACCTTTCGTTATTATGCAGATTAAGTACAACATAAATTTCGGATGGATTTAATACAATGAACAATTCGTTTATTCAGAATTATTGCCTGATGAATGTGATGCATATTAGACACTTGCCTTTGGTTTGTGTCACGAAGAATTAAATTCTTTTTTAGTAAGTGTAATCATATATTTAAATCTACTGAAAGCAATATTTTTTATAAACTTTATTGTATAATAATAAAAAAAATTAAAGAAATAATAATAAAAATTGATCTCTGTGTTATATTGATATTTTCAATGTATCACAATTTGCTTATTATTATTTGTTAATTAATTTACACAAATGTTCTCAAAATGAACGTCTAGGGTGGACATGGTAACAATGAATTCAGAAAAAACGGCATGTTGCCGGAAAGCAGGTGAAAGCAGTGATATTGGTGGAACAACCGATCGACAAAGGCGTAGAGATAATCAAAGAAATCAATGTAATAATCAGAATGGGGAGACATTCGACAAATATCAGAGTAGTCTTACATATCACATCACTGCCTCGTGTGCCGAAGATACACCCAATTACCTTGTATTCCAAAAAGTAAATTTTCATTAAAATATTTGTTAAAATATTTTGTTCATAGCATGTCATTATATATTCATTCATACATCCTATGTTTTTTAGATGGAAGCCATTGTAGAAAAAATGTCAGATGAAGTATCAGGTGTTCCAGTGAAAACAGTGAAGAGCTTTATGACAAAAACACCTTCAGTTTTTACGGGTAAAATATCTAAGAAAAATCAGTTTCAAATACATTCATTACTTTTCTTATGAGATTATTAATGCTGTGGAGTTATTACCGCAGGTACAGATTTAATATCATGGATGATGAAGACTATGACTATAGATGACCAAGAAGCTCTTCACATGGCACATCTTATGGCATCCCACGGATATTTTTTTCCTATCGACGACCACTGCCTTACTGTTAGAAACGATAATACGTTTTACAGATTTCAAACACCATATTTTTGGCCATCAAATTGTTGGAAACCAGAAAATACAGATTATGGTACGATAATTTTGTTAATGAGTAGTTTAAAGGAGGATATGACTAATTTGTTTTTCCAAAAAACCTTACACTTGGATCTAAATGTTGCAGCTGTTTATTTATGCAAGAGAACAATGCAGAATAAAACACGTTTAGAATTAGCAGATTACGAGGCTGAGAATTTGGCCAAATTACAAAAGATATTTTCACGAAAATGGGAGTTCATTTTTATGCAGGCAGAAGCACAAAGTAAAGTTGACAAAAAGAGAGATAAACTGGAACGCAAAGTGTTGGACAGTCAAGAAAGGGCTTTTTGGGATGTATATAGACCAATGGTATTATCTTATAATACTTATTACAGTTGTAATCTTTATCATCTATAAACTAAGAGTTATTTATTTAATTATTTATATATATATATTTTAGCCTGGATGTGTGAATACTACAGAATTAGATACTAAAAAAGCATGTCGTAGTTGTAAATCAACTCCAGAATCAAGTTCACATTTACGACTAAAGCCTGGTGGTAGAGCACCGCAAACAGGATCAAAAGAGACACCGTCAGTGGAAGCATTGCGTAAAGAGATTGCAGAATTAAACAGTATACTAGATCGACCAAATACAAAAGTATCAAAAGTGTCAGAGGCGTAAGTAAAAGTTAGAATATTAAATTGAATATTATTCAATATTTTTACCATAAACTCTTAATTTTGCAAGTCACTGATAGTAATCCTCGCAAATTTTAGTCTCATTGGATATTTTGAGCAATATGTAGAGTATGATCCCTTTTTTACACAACCTGAATTCACAAACCCATGGGTATCAGATAATCCTGAAATGTGGGAACAAGAAAGATTAGCGTATGTAAATTTTTGTATCTTTATTGTGCCTATTTTTGTTGTATGTGAGATAATAGATATCATTTTTATTCTTTAACAGGAAAGAAGTATCAACAAGAAGAGTAAAACGATGGGCTTTCAGCCTTCAAGAACTGTTACAAGACCCTGTTGGTAGAGACCAGCTCACAAGGTTTCTAGATAAGGAATTCAGTGGAGAAAATTTGAAGTAAGTAAATGGTGATCCTATTAGACCGATTATTACGAAAAAGGAAGCAAGATTAATATACATTCAATTCAATAGTAATCTTGTTTTATCCTGCAACCCCTCATCTTGCCCTCATAGTTCTATTTACAACATGGAATTAATAGTATTGAATGTTGATTACAATGCCCAGATTTTGGGAAGCTGTTCAAGAATTGAAAACTTTACCCCAGAAAGAAATTCAAACTAAAATAAATGAAATTTGGAATGAATACTTGGGCCCAGACGCTAGTTGTCCAATTAACGTCGATTCTCAATCTTATGAGATAACGAAGAAGAATTTGCAGAAGCCTGATCGATGGTGCTTCGACGTAGCAGCGGTACAAGTTTAAATCAACAACTTTTTGTTAAAATATAAATGAACTTCTTAGAGTGATAGTCAAGTTCTAAAATAATGTGTTAAGATAATTAGAGTGAACGAATTGAATGCAATAGAGTTAGTAATGATAATAATCACACAGTGGGGCGTGAATAATAAGAAAATGTTCCGTACTATTGTTAAATTTTAGGCGCATGTTTATCACCTGATGAAAAGCGATAGTTATTCGAGATATCTACGGTCGGAAATGTATAAGGACTTTCTCAATGGCTCGAAGAAAAAGGTCAATATAACATTTATAAAGAGAAGTAACAGAGAACTGAATTATTCATAATTTATTTGATGATTAAATAATTTCTTTCGTTAAATTATTTCAGACTTCCGTGAAAGGTATTCGTTCTATCGTGTCATTCAGCGGAAGAAGAGACACAGCCACCTCCTAATCAGTACAATATCAATTATTTGGGTGTAGGAGTAATTCCAAATCTTAAACTGTATTTCCGTTGTTAGAAAGGATGGAGAAGGAACATTGTTTATTTAATAACTGTAAGATTTACGCATCACTCTGCAGAAGTAAGTACATTGATATTATTTATGTGAACAAAGCACAATTGTCTATTTTAATGTAACGTTTGTTACTAATTCTTTTATCATGGGAGATTCAAAGATATTTTGAACATTTCAGTGAGACGTTTACAAATAAATTTGTTCTACTGTACATAGAATAATTATGTGAGAAAAGTGATAATGAGAATTATATAAAATCTTATTTTAAATATACACTTTTAAATTACATACCATTGTGATGTTTGCTTGTTTAAGTTGTGATTGGTTCAAACAATATGTATCTGTCGACTAAAAATAAACAGAGCAATTACAAGGTAGTGGTTTCTAGACTATCTGTAAGGAAATGAATTCCGATTCACTGAATCGTTTTA